AAAAAAAAAAAAAGGCAATGGAATTTTTCCATGAACTTTTTGAAGCCCCCTCATATTTTAGAAGTATGTACTTATATTCTAAGTTTCACATATATACAGAGGGAGAGGAATTTTGCCCCAGGATGGATCATACCCAGAGTCTCACATCCATAACTGATTTAGATGATGAGATTTTAGACTTCAAGATGGATGCTGAAATGGATTAGGACATTTAGAGGTTGCTGGAATGGGGTGAATGTATTTGCATGTCAGAAGGACATGGATTTGGGGGGCAGAGAACAGACTGTGATGGGTTGAGTATGTTCCCCCATATATGTAGAAGTCCTAACTCCTGGTCTTATGAACATGACCTTGTTTAGAAATAGGGTCTTTGAAGATGTCATCAGTTAACATGAGGTCATGTTGGAGAAGGATGGATCCTAATCCAATATGAGTGATTTTATAAAAGAAAAGATACAGAGAATCAAAGGAAAGGTAAGGAACACTTGGCGGCTACCAGGTGCTGAGAGGGACTTCTCCTAGAACTATGAGATAATACATTTCTGTCCTTATAAAGCCATGTACTTTGTGGTATTTTGTTACATCAGTCCTAGGAAACTAACATACCACCCCAGTACTTCCCCATCTTCTTCCATTTCTTGTTTCTTTTCTATCACACTCATCAATAGCTCATGTATTTACTTATTTATCTTATTTACTGTCTGCTTGCCCCCACTAGAATATCAGCTTCATGAGGTCAGTGTTTTTCTGTTTTGGTCTTTCTGGTATCTGCAAGGTTTAGGACAGTGCCTGACACAAAGCAAAAGCTAAATAAATGTTTCTGGAATTAAAAACAAAACAAATCCCTTGTCACTGAGTGGATTCTGACTCATAGCAACCCTACAGGACAGAGTAGAACTGCCCTATATGGGTTCTGAGACTGTAAGTCCTTAAAGGAGCAGACCTTTAGTGGGTTTGAACCATTAACATTTTGGTTAGCAGCAAAGTGCTTAAACCACTGTGTCACTTGAGCTCCTTTGAATAAAGTACTATATAAATAGGAAACTAAGTGCATATATCACGTAGGGACTAGATGAGGCACTTGGTCCATAATATCATGCACTTAACATTTTTACTTGGGCATAAAGTAAGGGTCTACAGCTTTGCTGAGGGTGAGGAAAGCTGGGTGAGAAATGACCACATGAGCAGCAACAGAACTGCCTAGGGCAACACAGTCTGATGGCCCCACCAAGGAACAAAGTTTGGAAAACAGGACCCCTAGTCCATCCCCCATTGGCCTGGTGCTCCCAACCCAGACTCACGGGTCACTCGACTTGGGGATGAGCGTGCCCAGTTCCTTGATCCTGTCGTTAATGTTGAATCGTCTGCGACGCTCAACTTTGGAAGTAGGGGGAGAGAAAGAAACAGTGGGAATGAGTCACTGATAGGTGAAGGAGGGAGGAGAGACACTAGGGGCTTGAGGGCTGCTGTGGGAAGGGGCTCCCCAAGAAAGGCTGGGACTCAGAGGAAGGCAGGGCTGCACTACACACTTCTAAGTGCACACACTCTCTCACTTACTTAGGTTGTGATTGTCTTTCTTCTGCCGTTCTTTCAAAAGGGCCTTTGCCTCTGTCTCTGAAAGAGAGTGCAAGACAGTGTGGGTGGTCAGCACCTCTGGGACTGTGAAAGAGGGTAGTACCTACAGCTGCTGAGGTGGGGTGTGGTGAGTCAAGGGGAAGTGACATTTTTAAAAAAAACTTTCTATTATGAATTGAGTGAAGGTTAACAGACAAGATTATCAGCTTTCCCCTCAACCAATCATATGTTTGGTTTCATCTAAATGCTTACAATTCCCTCCTTGCAACAACAGTTATCCTGCTTCCTCCCTGTGGCTTCTATATTTCACTTTTCACAAATCAACAAAGCAAACGTATTCGTTTAAATGTCCAAAGGACACATTTTGCAAGCCAGGTTATGTGGGGAAGAAAAGAGCAAACTGTCCCCCCTTTTGCATGCTTAAACTCCTTCTTAAACCCTAGACATGGTGATCAACTCAGGGTGATCAACTCGGGGTAGAGAGTGGGTAATGTGTCCAAGACCTTGGGACTTACCAGAAATCTCCCGTTTGATGTTGGGCAACTCAGCTGGGCAGGAGTTACTGACAGTGATGGCTGGTGTGGCCACGCTCTGACTACTGTATACATCAAGAAGATTCCCTGACACGGGAAGCTGGGAGCAGGAAAGGGAGAGAAAAAATAGTTTGGGAACAAACCCCAGAATTATCCCCTTCTCAGAATCAGGTTCCTGACCCTCCATACACCTCAAAGGGTGACCCACCAACTCAGGGATTGGTTAACTTGATATGGAGCATTTCCTTCTCCTTCAGGGGAATGGCACAACAGGGAAAACAGGACAAAGTAGATCTACCTTGATTTTCTAGGGAATGGGGCCTATCTGGTCTGCTTATCACCCCCTCTCCACCCTGTCTACCCCTCCTGCCAGCCCTTCATGCTCTTCAGTGATTTTGAAAGCTCTTCTCCTAAACCTCAGAGTTGGCTCTGAGGAGAAATGCTGGAAAACTAACCTTTTCTGGTCCTTATCTGCTCCAATGCAACATCCCAGGCCATTAGCCTCTCCCAGCACTACATTCCAATAGAGAGTATTTGGAACACTCCAACCCCATCTTCTCAGACCTTGGTCTGAGAAGCCTTTTGCTGTGATCATGTCACACCACATAAGGTACGCGGTTTCTTGCTGCCCTAATGCTAGAATCTCTTGACTTTTATGCCTTGCTGCACTTTCTGACCTCAGGATTCCAGAACTGCTGTTATATCTACCTATATCATGTTCTCTCCTTCATATTCTGCATATACTCCAGGGCAACATACTAATCCCATTAATAAATTAGTCCCTCTTCTCGATGGGTTTTCATCTCTTAGAACCCCAGTCTTCTAGATCTATTGAACATAAGGCCCCAATCTTTGTGTCCAAATCAATTAAAAGTTCTGATTAAACTGCTGTAATTTTTATACATGCTTCTATCTTCTTGATAAGTTGGAAAAATCGAAGTTAACAGCCACCTGTTATGTCCCAAAGGATGTTATGAGACTCTTGGAATGTTCTAGAACCAAGACATGACTACATCTTGAACCACTCCTTGCTCTACAAAGTTTTATCAGCTTTCCACAAGGACCCAACCTCTTGGCACTATAGCCCATATCATGTTTTGAGACTTTTGATATGGTCTGGGTATGTCCCAATGATCTGAGTACTTTGGTACATTCAAATTGTTACAGGATTCCCACTTCTTGGTACCTCCCACAGAGAAGCCCAATAACTCAGTACCCCAATAACTCAACAAACTTTCCATCTTGTATACAGCAAACTCTATAAGCCCCACCTCTCTTGGTTCAGTCCAAAACTAAGTCCAGTCTTTTCATAAGGACTCCTGGCTCAGTACGATCCAAGGTAAAGGTCTATCTATATATACACAGCCAGCAGTAAGTGAGGCCTCCATGACAGGATGCCCAAATTTTCAGGTCAAGCTCGCATTTTAGGGTCTCACCGTGCTGGGGAGCTGTAGCCCTGCAGTGCCTCCAGGGAGATAACTAAGCATCTCATCATTGTAACTGGACTCCAGGCTGATGATCTCATCAATAACATCATCAATCTGGGGGAAAACAGAAATATGGAACAGGGTTAGGAGAGGTTGGATGAGAAGTAGGGAGGATGAGAGAGCTGTCTACAGCTACTCACCTCCTTCTCTGAGCTGGACCCAATGGTGAGCAGCGCCATGGGACTGTTGGGAGCGCTGCCTGCAGGACCAGTAGCATGGACAGTCTCAGGAGCAGGGAGTGGCTGGGCACTCGTGGGCCCTGGTGGTGGGGTGAGGGCCTGGGAGGCCAGTTTGGGCCCAAGTGTGGTGGACAGGTACTGTTTCACCTGTTGCCGGCGTGCCTGTTGTAGGTGGTAGCGTGTTGGGTTTTCCAGATGAGTCTGCACCTATGGGATAAGAGATAGGAGGCAGGGGAGAGGCAAAGTAAAACAGAACTTAGAGGAGTAACTGAGTCCCAGCCTGACCCCATAACTCATCTGCTCCCAAGTACAGGTGGGCACACTCGGCTCAGAATCTGAGATACTCCTCATCCCAAAAATACTGGTGAGTTCCCCTAAGACCCAGACTCCTTTTCTTAGAATCTTTCACAGCCCCCAAGACCCACCCATAGATGACGAGATCCCTCACAGTTTTTGGAATACCCTGTCCCAGTTCCCAAGAACTTTCCTAGTCTCTGATAACACCTAAAAGATCTTGGGAACCATACATGGCTTCCTAAGATACCCTAATGAACCCCAAAGAATTCTTAATATATCACACATATGAGGGAGCTTCAAAAAGCTCATGGAAAAATTCCATTATCTTTTAATTCAATTTTCCTTGAACTCTTTGACGCCTCCTCAGACATGAAGCTCTTCCTACAAAGTTACTTCACAGATCCCAGGACCCACTGTGAGAGTTCACAACCCTCCGTGGTTCACTAAGACATCTTCAAGGCTCTAAGAACCTCTCACAACTGAAGATGGATACCCCAGAAACCCTAAACACAAGAGGACACTATCACAGACCACTTTAACAGTACCTTAGACCTTCCTTGGAACCCCTAGTGCCTTGCCCAAAAGCCACAAGTACTCCCAGGTCACCCCCAGCTCCTCAGTCTCCAAGTAACCCCTCCCATGGCCTTTAGACTTCATCTTACCTTGAGTACCTCCCTGGGCACCTGAGCCGGAGGGGGACGTCCCAATGTGTGGCCCCCAGCAGAGACACCAACCACAGAAATCGCAGGAGAGGCAGGTGCAGGACTGGGGAAGGGAGCGGCTGCGGCCTGTTCCCGACGCTCACGCCTCTCCTGCTCCTGGGCTTGTGCTCGCATTAGCTGCTGCCGCAGCAAGACCCGTGATGAAGAAGATGACGACATGGCAGGGGTCCTGGAGCCCCCTGCAGAAGACGATGCAGAGAGTGTAGCTGGGGTGGCTGGGGTGGCCTGCAGTGATATTGGGAGGCTGTGGATGGGAAATATTGGGCCACAGGTAAGCCTAAGGGGTCATCAAAAAAAAAAAAACCACTTCCACAGAGTCTATTCTGAGTCACAGTGACTCTGTATAGGGTTTCTGAGGCTGTAAGTGTTTATGGGGACAGAAATCTTCATCTTTTTCCCAGGGAATGACTGGTGAGTTTAAACTGCTGACTGTTCAGTTGGCAGTCCAGTGCTTATCATACAGTGTGATAAGAAGACATAGGAGCTGGGTCTGTTTGTGGTCTTTGAAGGTCATAATGTGGAGGGGGAAACACGGGACCAGGCTTGTCTTTTCTCTCAGGAGTCAGTCTGATGAGGGACACACAGGGACTAGGACCGGCCTGCTCCTGCCTTCAGGGTCATGGTCTGGTGAGGGAGATACAGGATAAGGATTGTTTTGTTCTCAGGAGTCACAGTCTGGTGGGGGAGACACAGGGACCAGGACTGGTTGTGTCTTTAGGGTTTTGGTCTGGTGGGGGAAATACAGGGACCAGGACCGGTCCTGCTCTCAGGGGTCACGGTCTGGTGGGGGATTATCACCTTTCAGTTCTTAGTGGTGAAGCTATGACTTAAGTCTGTTCATATACTGAGTGAGGATGCTACTTCTCAACTCTGGGAGACTGGATAGATCCTGTTTGAAGAGCAGCAGGAAGCAGGATTGGGGTGGTAGCAGTAGAATGAACGCATAAAGTCTAATTTGGGACATCTGTTATACCCAGAGTTCCTGGGATGGGCATCTCTTTTTCTCCTGCTTGGGCCTCTAGTCCCATGCGCTGCTAGTCAGTCTTGAAAATCTGAGTGATTTCACAATCCTCTCTTCCTGCCCCTCTTCCAGGTCCCCTCCCCTCTCTTAGAGCCCTGGCCCATGACTCAGCACATTTAAACTTCCAAGCAGGAGGAACTAAGGAACCAGCAAGGGTTCCTCAAGGGGTGGAGGTATTTGTTGAGTGAGGGAGGGGACTGAGCTGAGGTTATGGGTATAGAGTCTGCTCTGCCCACCTGGACCTGAGCTGTTGCAGGCCTATCCCGTCCCTGGGTACTCAAGGCATATATGAATGTGTATGCAGGTGGGGGTGGGGGGCAGGGAGGTCTTGCCTGAGATATCAGCATCCTAGGTTGGCCATCTGCTTTCCTGTGTAATATGCTTTCTGGCCCTTATTTTACCATCTGGAAAATGAAGGCTGGTGAGAGAAAAAATGGGTTGGACTGGGCGCTAAGGGCCTATGACTATCAAGAGGGGACTGGCAAGCTGATGAATTGGGAGGGGAGTCCAATAGATGAGTCATACCTTGAGCGTAGGGATAGGGGCTGGCTTTTGAGTTCGTAGAAGTTGTCAGGATCAAGGACGTTTTCTAATTCTATGTCAGCAACAATTCCAGATTCCGGAAGCAAAGAATTCAGGCTGAGGGTGAGGGGAAGGTAGGAGTGATGGTAAGTGGCTGTAGGGAGGGACACCTCATTACCCTCATCTTTCAGAGAAACAAACAAAGGGAGAGAAAAGGGAACAGCCTGTACCCCCTCACATTCAACGACCCCATTGGGTATTACCACCATGAATTCCCACGTCCTCTCTTCTCCCCACTCCAAACACTCTGTGTCATCCATAGTCACTTAAGATTCAAAATAATAAGAATGCCTCCACCCCACCCCCACCTCACTCTAATAATCACATGTAATAAGAACCTGGGTTGGAGGAAAATAGAAATTCAGAATTTAGGAATAATGATTCACTTTACAGAATTCCAGACTTTGCATTCAGAGTTCTCTCAGCCCCATATAGCCTACTATCTTCCTAACAGCTGGATGTGTACACATCAGTGTACACACACACACACACACACACACACAGGGAAACCCCATGTATGGGGTATCCTTCAGCATAACAATCTATTGTAGCAAAAAGAAATAAATCAAATTGAATTAATCACAAAGAGGAGTAGGGACTGATTCACTTTATATAAGGATATACTACTTTGCAAATGATTTCCTCCCCAGTTCTAGCCAGCGTCTACAGGATGCCAACACATACCCAAATACAAAATGGAAATAGCCAAGGCTCCCCTCACTCCAACTGTCTGGATTTCCAAGACGGAGGATTTGGATAGATGATCCACTTTATACAAGCATTCTTTTCTTGGTGGGAGGAGCCTTCCCAGCCTTCTCCTGTTTTTTTGGATAGATCAAAACACACACACCCCCAACGCCCACTGACACACAAAATGATAAGCCATGTACACTCCTCCCTTTCAACTATTTCCACTGCTGTGATGATCTAGGTTGTTATAAATTACGAGACAGTGAATCGATACACAGAAAGGCTCCTGTCTAGCCTTCCATGCTGGGTGTGAAAACCCTAGTATGCAGGAGGCACATAGGTGGATATGCATCTTTACATTCAAAGATTTAGAATCCTGAGAAATTACAGGTGATTTCACTAGACAATAATTCTCTCTCCCCTCTCCATCCAAAGATCTGTCTTCCTTCTCCTCACCCTCAGATGGGGCCCTAAAACCATCCAGGAAGTTGGGAAGAGGAAGCATGGGTTGTTGCTGAGCTTAGCACAAACCCAGGCAGAAAGTAGGCAAAGCCCCTTCCATGCTCACACACACTGATTTCATAGTTGGGAGATGGTTGCTGGGTAGGGACGCAGACAGGAAGGGCTAGGGTTCCCAAGACTATTGATAGAAGAATGAGAGGAGGACCTACTCAGGCAGGAAGGTGCAATTGGTGCGCATTTCTGCTCTAGGGACAGATTCAAGATTACACCCAGGGGCTGAGAGAAAAACTGGGAGGTGGGGATAAAAAGAACAAGTGTTTGTGTTGGGATAGAGGGAGGATTCTAGGTCCGCTGGAGCCAGGAAAAAGACCCTCCTCCTCTGGGTTCCCAAGTAAGTTCTGAGGCCTTCTTCTCTGAGCTACGAGGCAGCACCATTCCCTGTATCTACTTAACTGTCTCCTATTCGATCCCTTGTGGGTTTTGGATAGGGGATTTTACCTCCATCTCTGGGATCTGACCCAGCTAGGTGGGTGGGCAGAGGTGAAGGGATTATTCTGGTCAGAGTTTGGTGAAGGTTGCCTCTCTTGCTCAGTCACACATACACTTATAAAGCTGGTCTCCGTAGCATACCAGAGATACCCCAAATCCCTCCAGACTCATAGTATCCCCAACCAATGCCTCCCACAAAGAGCCGCTGGTAGTCACCAAGCTCCCAAAGCAGCACCTCTGTCTGATCCCCAGGACTCCTTTCCTACACTGAGAGAAAGGTTTCCAGGATTCCCTTAAAATCAGTGTCTCACCTGACAATGTTCCCTCAAATGCATCCCCCTCATCTTGACTTAAACCCATTGCCCTCGAGTCCATTTCAACTCATGATGACCCTATAGGATAGAGTGGAATGGACCCTTAGGGTTTCCAGGGTTGTAAATCTTTACAGAAGCAGTCACATCTTTCTCCCACAGAGGGACTGGTGGGTTGGAACCACCAATCTCTTGGTTATCAGCCAAGAGCTTTAGCCTTGGCTAACACAAGGACCCCCAATTCAACCTCTAATCAGAATCTCCTAAGTTCAGCTTTCCTAGGCCAGTTTCTGGACAATCAGTTTTTAGAATCACTCCCTCCAGATCCAGTCAAGGGTGCCCAAAATCTGACCCAGGCTCCCCTTATTGTATTCCCAAGACTTTAAGTCTCAGTTCAAGCAGGCCATAGCCGGGGTGGGGGTGGGGGGCATTCAGGTGTCCACCCACAAGACCGGCGCCCCAACCTCCTCTTCCAAGCCTACCCCGAGGGCTTCCAATCACAGTCTGAGACTCGGCTGCCCTATGATCAGGCCCCAGAGAACCCCAGCTGGCACTCCCGGACACAAGAGGTCTCGCACCTGAGCAGCTGGGCCGAGTCGGCCGGCCTGCGGTCCTCCAACAGCACAAACACAGCTCGAGGGCCCTCCGCGCTGGCCTCTACGCCGTCCCGAGCTTGTTCGGCCGCATGAGACATGACGCCCGGCACCGGGCGAGCCCTGCCAGGCCGGTCGGGCCTCGGCCCGGTCCCCCTAACAAAATAAGAGTTCCCTTGCCCCCCAGCTCGCTACCACCTCCTCCTCTGCTAAGCCATGGAACCAGATCTGCGCGGGCGGTAGGCGTTGGGTAGATAGGATGGGCCGTGAGTCATCCCCCGCCCTGGACTGACCGACCCCCCCAACCTAACCCCAGACGACCGCCCTCCTCCTCCTCGTCCTCTTCCCCTCCTCCCTGGGCTGTGGAAACTCCACAGGAAGTGACCGCACTAGGACGGACATATTGTATGGCCACGCCCCATAAGAGAGACTGCCAATCGCCGAGGGGCAGCTAGAGGTCCCGCCCTAAACCACGGCTCCAACGTAGAGGGAAATCTAGATTCCGAACCCCTTCATTTCGGAGAGGGGCCATGTAGGCCACGCCCTCAGAGACAGAAGCAAATCTGTTCGAGGTAATTCAGTCGAGTTACGCCTCCATGTTTGCGTAATTCCTTAAGCCACGCCTCCTCCTCGCTAATTATTCCTCCGCAAGATAATATTAAGACGCACCTGCGCTTGCGTACTGGAGGCCAGTCTGTGCGCTGAGTGTTCCAGGCCACGCTTCTAGCGGGGGAAACCGCGCCCTCTCTTGGCCTATTTTAGTAATATCTGCGCCCAAGACCACGCCCCAACCTGTATCAAGCCAAGCCTCCTCAGACAAACCCTTAACTAAGAGGCAGGGGCGGCTACATTCCCTTGGAAGAAACCCCGCCTTCTCAGACCCGCGGTCCAGCCACCCAGCTGGTCATCCCGCAAGTGCTCCACTTATTCTATACCATCTAAAGCGGTTTATAAATAATAATGACTTTATTGTTGTAATCCTTTGACAGATGGATGAGTTAATGGAAAGATGTAAATTAGATTTGGTCCCTTCAATGAATGGAATCACCCGGGTTTGAATCTGGGCAGAAGACTTAACCTCTTCAACTCTCAGTTTTCTGGGCCTGTAAAATGGGCGTCATAATACCTCTCTGGCAGGGTTTTTATAAGGATTAAAAATAATTTATGAAAAGTGCTAGCAGGTGTTTGGATACAATAATCTCTCCAAAATTTAATTCACTCATTTTGTTCACTGATCTAACAAAAACTCACTGTGCACTTTTGTGTACCAGTTATTTAGAAGCCGGTTTTGCACACAGTCGTGGGTCCCACCCACAACTTCAGGTGCACAGTTGGCTCACAAAACACGTTGACCTACAGCATTTTCTCAACATCCCAAGGGGACCCATCAGCTAGACCTCCAGGAACCCTGCTCAACCGGATTGACTTGCAGCTTTTTGTATTGTCAAGTCTGTAAATCAGTTTGTTAAACACACAGACAGACACACACAACCATATCATGGGAGCACGGAGTCTCTAGTGATAGACGTTCTCCCATAAATTAATGTAAAAGCTCAATCCACCATAGTTGGATCTTAATCAAAAGGAGGAAATACTGTGGAATAGTACTTCAAATTTTTATTGGAAACCAGAGTTATTGGATACATAGACACTGGAGGAACCCCTGAACCTATACCGTGGAATGAACTATTAAGCACTGAACCAAAATTATACCATGAAGTCATCTTTAAAGTAAACATCATTTTAGCTCATTTAATAAAGCATGCTCACCTTGATCACCGCATTTCAAAAAATAATTATCTATATGAGATTAAGGAGTTCTTGTGGCTTAGTGGTTATGAATCGGGCTGCTAACCTCAAGGTCAGCAGTTCAAAACTACCAGCTGTTCCGTGGGAGAAAGCTAAGGCTTCCTACTCCCTTAAAGATTTACAGCCTTGCTATGAGTCAGAACCAACTCCACGGCACACCACCACCACCATCATATGAGATTAAATGAACAGCAGTACTAAAAACATAGAGGAGAATTTTAAAATGCAGAGAGTTTAAGTCAAGGGTGGTAAAACAATTTGGGCAGAGATGGTGACATAATGTGAAGAATGTAACCGCTGTAATTGAAGCATACATATAAAACGTATTGAATAGGCATATGTTTTGTTGTGTAAATTTTCACCGATTTTTTTTTTTTATTAGAAAATTTCTGAGACTTCCGGCAATATGGTGGACTAGGCAGACACACTCTACACGAACTCTAAAACAAAGATATGAAACCAAATGAAACTGACACAGGTGAAAATCCTGGAACCCTGGACTTCAGAAGAAAGGTTAGAGTGCTTGCTGGGAGGAGAAACTGAACAAGGACAACAAGAGAGGGAAACTGACTGGTGAATGGCCAGACAGACGTGGCATGACCATTTTGTGAGCAGCTTTGGCAACAGATGGTGACCTAGCAGAGCAGATTCACACAGGTGATAGGA